CATCGATGCTCCGGTGAGGAGGTGTGAGCGGTTGGCCGTGGTGGGCACGAGAAGAGGTAGAGGAAGACCTAAGAAGTATTGGTGAGAGGTGATCAGGTAGGACATGGTTCGTCTGCAGATTTCCGAGGACATGACCCTTGATAGGAAGGCTTGGAGGACTAGCATTAGAGTTGTAGGATAGATGTAGTAGAGCTTTCCTTACTGCATGCCGGGGGTGAGGCGGGGTTGGATTGGGGTTGATCTTAGATGGTTTGCAGTTTATGTTGAACCCACACTATTCTTGTTGTTTATCTTAGATTCCTTAGTCTCTGGTTACTGTTATTCCATGTCATTCATCTTTTGATTTTTATGCTTCTGTTACTATAATGGTTTTTACTGGAATTACTAATGAATTCTCTTTTCTTTTCTTGTTTTCCTTGTTTTTCTTTATTTCCGTCGTTCTGAGCCGAGGGTCTATCGGAAACAGCCTCTCTGTCCTACCGGGGCAGGGGTAAGGTCTGCGTACACATTACCCTCCTCATACCCCACTATGTGGGATTTTACTGGGTAGTTGTTGTTGTTGTTGCACTAGAGTGAGACTAGCCAATTAGGAGTTAGTCTTTGGCTGCTACTGGTCATCTACTGATGCAGGGCTTTATCTGCTGGTTATTATTATGCCATCCATCTATTTCGTATTTCTTATATTGTTGTTATTTTATTATGAGTCTATTGTTGATACTAATATATCTTCTCTTGTTGCTTTCTTGAGCCGAGGGTCTCCTGGAAACAACCTCTCTGCCCCTCGGGGTAGGGGTAAGGTCTGCGTACATATTACCCTCCCCAGACCCCACTTGTGGGATTATACTGGGTCGTTGTTGTTGTTGTTGTTGTTGTGGTGGTGGTGTTATGGCAGAGTGGACCAGCTATTTTCTCATTCTAGTTAACAGACTGGGGTTTCTGATGTAACAGCAGAATCTTTAACTTTCAACCATAATAATCGTAGCTGCACCAGTTACAGTTGCAAAATAATTTTATACACTTTCCTGCTATATGTTGAATGTTTATTAATGCAATAATACAAGTTTGTTGCATAGCTTGGATATATGCTAACAGACTACGTTTGAAGCAGATTAAATTTTTTCTCACATTACTAGCAGTTGGGTCCACAGTACAGCAAGGTGTGTGCTTTTATGTCTATCTGCTAACTGATTCTTTATTTTAGGTATGAAAAGGAACTGATGCATCCAATTCAAAATCTTTTTTCTGGAGAGCTTTCTCGTGCTCTTCTTATCCAGGTAATATACTCCATACTCTTGTAATCAATTCTTTCTGGTTTTGGCATGTTTCTAACGTATCATTTCTGCATTACAGGTTCAGAAGCTGAAGCTTGACATTGAAGAGTAAGTGAGAGCAACTGATATGCTTGTTCTGAACTTCTGAGAGTTCAAGTCTTTTCTTATTTTCTTCTCTGATTTTCATACTTTAAACAGGGCTATGCTGGAACTGGATCAAATTCTTAGGGCCAATGAAATCAACTTTGCTATTTTAGCTGCTTTGCCTGCTTTCTTCCTCTCCCTCGTCGTGATCATGTTGGTGCGCGCTTGGTTTAAACAGGTACACTGGTTTCATTGTGTGTATGATTGTTTTTAGTGCATAGCTAAAGAATTCTCCTAAATGTTTGTGATCCTGGTTTTTTCATTTATATTTGATTTCCATTCAAGAATTGAGTTCACAATACGGTGATGAATTTTTTATCATACTTAGAAGTTCCTTATAGGAATATTCTGAAAATTGATCAGGAATACCCTAAGGCAGATCAGTGCAACATCAAAAGTTTGATGCCATTGTCACTTGAGAACCATACTAGGCAAACTAATTGTTAGAAGTCCAACGGACTACAGAAGTTGAATCTTTGCAACATAATATTAGTCCAATAAAAATAATTGTAAGACGGATTAGGATTTTTGTTGCATGAGAGACAAAGAGGAGGAACTGTAGGGAGAGGGGGAGCAGGGAGAGTATTCCAACTTTGCTTAACTGTGCTACTTTTGTATAAGGCCGTCTTTTCTACCCACACCCCGTTTACACAGTTCTTGAAGCCTCTGCTTTTGATGATATCAAGCTATGTCAGTTGGTTCAGCTACTACTCTTTCTTCTGTTGTCCTGTTTGTTGTAAGATTACTGAAGGAAAGGATGGTCATAAGTTCAGAGATTTCTCTACACGGAGTATTGGAGTATAGGAGAAAAATAAGGAAACCTATTTCCAATCTCATCAAAGAAAAAGATAGAGAAGAGTTTTCCAGAGAAAGAGATGGAGTGAAGCAGTTTTCTGATGAGGGAGGCTTGTTATGCAATTCACCAAAATAGTTTCATATTATATTATACAAAAATGAAATCTTTATAATTGTACGCAATTGTTTGATCCTACTGGATTGGGCACTTCCAATTCCATCTTAAACCTAAGAAGTGGACTCAATTGTAGTTCAGGACAGCTTCAGCGAATATTTTCTTCATTTCTCTTTCCCCCTTCTAAGTTCTAATGCTATTGACATGAGGAAGTGATTATTTTTTGAAACTATGAAGAAAGGAAATGGAAATTACTGGTTGAGATGTTTGATGGTTAATGTAGTTCTCTTTTTTTAAGAGTCTTGACATGCTGTGCAAAATCATATAATGCCATTAATTTTTGAATGAGATCAGGATAAGAGAGCAGAAGGCAGGGGAAGGGTTGCTCGAATTCAACGACGACTGCTAATTGTGGAAATAGAGAGAAAGATTATGCAATTAGAAAGCTGCAAAGATCAAGGACAAGTAAGGCCCTTTGAACTTTATCAACATCTTTATTTGATCCTTGTACACTAGTATTTGTGCCTTTGAGAATCTCATATTTCTTTCACTATCATACAACCCATTTTCATCTAGTAATTTAGAACCCTTCACTCAATTCCGTTCTCCCTAACAGTTATGTAGTAAATATCTTTTGGTCTCCAACAAGTTAACTAGGTGCTTGCATGTAATGCTGCCATAGCTTGGAGCTGAGTTCTTGTTTTTGTTTTTTTCTCTTCCCTATTTTCTTATTTTCCCCGAACCCTTCAGGAAAAAGATGCTCAATGCATGTTGGGGTTGGCATTATATTATCTGGATCGCTTATACTGTGCTGTGGAAGGACATGCAAGAGCAACTGGTGAATGGATAAGGTTTGTTTCTCTTTGTCCTTTATCTTAACCCTTGCTTTGTTCAAGGCATGGGACGTTTCGCCGATTTTGAAAAGTATATTTTCTGAAATGTTATAACTCTAACATGACGTTTGCATGTTTTATAGTTTGAGGCAGGATATCATCGATTTGGCAAAGCCAGATATTCAAACTGTGCATAAACTCAGGATTACATCACGGATGGAACGGGTATATGATTGCTTGCTTCCTTTACCAAAACGACAGTAGTTGTGCAGTCTTCACATTTACTGTTTTCATTCAAACAACTTTTTCCTTTTGTATAAAATGGGGGATGATGCCCCCTTACACTCTCCACCCTTTCCTTTTTGTTTTCTGGGGTGAGATTTTGTCCACGAGCATTATTTGCTGCTCGTTACAGTGTCCTCCACGAGATCTGAAATTGTAGAACTCAAGAGAGAACAAGCTCCTAATATATTCCCCAGCAAAGAAACGGGGAATACATCCGTTAAGGACTTATTGTGTTTCTGCAGCGACTTTTCATTTGACATGAGTTGTAAAAAAGATGCTCCCTATACGGTTTCCTTTGATTGACAATTGCTAACGCTCATATAAAATAGTCAAAGATTTTGGATTGCTTCATGTATGAACCTTCTTCACTTCATCTTACTCCTTTGGAGTCATTTTGTCCTTGTTGCACTGGCAACTTTCTCAAACAATGCATTATTTGAGGTAAGGTAAATAACTCTAAGAATACTTTGATCCTTTTTAGGTGATTTTGCTTCGCTTTTTTCAAGTCAGGGGCTGATGGCGGCCCCAGCTTCTTAAGTTAGGGAATTGTGCTAGACCAATGCTACGAACTTTTGGAATCCAGTAGTCTTTGTAAAGTCGATCATTATGAGTGCTACGATTTATTTGGTTGGAAGTCCAGTCGATCATTATTAGTGTTACGATTCATTCGATTGGAGGTTAATTCGATTTATAGCGTGATCAAATACTAGAGATGGCAATAGTTGCATTGAACCCAAACTCAAAAGCATTATTCTGCCTATGAACTAATTACACATGAATAGACCCAACAACCCTACTTATAAGAGGATTAATGCACGTTAGATATCTTTAAAATTAACATATTAAAAATTAATCAAAATCAAGTGTTGGCCGGTTAAGAATTCACACATCCAGAAGATGAAAGTTGCAGAGAGGTGGATTTGCGAGCATACAAGGAGGGATAAGATTAGGAATGAAGATATTCGAGAGAAGGTGGGTGTGGCCCCCATGGAGGACAAGATGCGGGAAGCAAGACTCAGATGGTTCGGGCATATTCAGAGGAGGAACACTGATGCACCAGTGAGGAGGTGTGAGCGACTGGCTGTGGTGGGTACGAGGAGAGGTAAAAGGAGACCTAAGAAGTATTGGGGAGAGGTGATCAGGCAGGACATGGTGCGACTTAGGGTTACTGAGGACATGACCCTTAACAGGGAATTGTGGAGGTCGAGTATTAAGGTTGTAGTTTAGGGGGAAATTGTGAATATTTCTACAACGCACTAGAGTGAGACTAGCCAGTTAGGAGTTAGTCTTAGGATGCTACTGACCAGCTACTGATGATGGGCTTTATCTGTTGGTTATTAGTATACTTTACATCTTTCTCGTATTTCCTATATTTCTTATATTGCTGTTATTTTGTTATTTTATGGTATTTTATGTTATGTTATGGATTTTATGTTATTTTATTTTATTATGAGTCTATTGATAGTACTAATATAGCGTCTCTTGTTGCTTTCTTGAGCCGAGGGTCTCCTGGAAATAGCCTCTCTGCCCCTCGGGGTACAGAGGCGAATTCAGGATTTAAATTTTATGGGTGCAACTTTTAAGATTTTTAGCATTGAACCTGTTATATTTCTTAAGTTATGGTTTGTCTACTATTTATTACAATTTAAGTGAAATTTTACGCATAAACTTATGATCCGCACCGAAAGTTGTGGGGTCAGTTGAACCCGTACCCACTATGGTACATCCGCCTCTGTCGGGTAGAGGTAAGGTTTGCGTACATATTACCCTCCCCAGACCCCACTTGTGGGATTATACTGGATTGTTGTTGTTGTTGTTGTAATCAAAATCAAAGACTATTCAAACCGTCTAATTTAGATACACGCAATAAATTAACCAAAAGCTTGAAATTTTGTTTTAAATTAAAATTAAAAAAACAAACAAACAAATAACCAATGAGATAACAATTTTTCAATATTCGATTTCAAAAAATAAAGTGAATATGTGTTGCTCTACTTTACAGAGCATTTAGTGGCTATGGTATCAGATGAAAAAGAAATCCAAATGATTTGTCTTTTCATGGTAGCATTATAGCAACAAGATCTGTTACTTCTCAAAGAGGCAAGTACTTCTTTCAAACTGTAATAAGGAAGCACAAAATTACTTCCTCTCATTGGCGAAGCCACATGGTTTCATCATCCTTCGTTGAAAAATTACACTGTAAAATAAAATTTACATATATAGAACTGCATAAAAGTATCATAAGTCACAATAATTAATAATTTATAATATTTATATAGTCAAAGAAAATCTTTTTTGATTCCCCAAATAGTAAAAGGCTACGGATGGAGTTAAGCCAATCATCGAAATGAAAATAATTGTGTATAATATAAGCAAACGAGAGGGGATGTAGCTCAAATGGTAGAGCGCTCGCTTTGCATGCGAGAGGCACGGGGTTCGATCCCCCGCATCTCCATTTTCATTCTTTTGATTACTTTCTTTTAATTGATTAAATCTGAATTATTTGTATATTAACAATTAAAATATAAAAAATTATCTTGTTATATACAGTTGATAACATTTTGGGAAAAGAGAAGCATCTTCTTCACTTAAATTAAGACATAATTGATTAAATATATTGTAAACGAAAGCAAGATTTGGAGATGGTATAGAGATGTTTAACATTAACCTAAGCCTAATATAGGACAGCTAAAATATTACTTTTACAAGAATTATAAGCAGGGGCGGATCTATAGCATTATGTATGATTCACGTACCCAGTAACTTTTGCATATATACTATATTGGTATTAAAAATTTCACTAAATTTATTCTAATATTTACCTCGGAACACTAATTCGTTGGCCAGTTATTCTTGTATATTAACTTGAGATTGCAATAGAAGTCCAAAAACTTCAAATTGTAGATATGCCTCATATTATTGGGTACATCATACATTAAGGGTGTCAATAGATATTAAAAACCGACTAAACCGATTTTTAGATTTATTTTAACAAAATCATAGGGTTTTATATAAATATATAATTGTACCGATAATTAGGGTAGATTTTTTATTTTACGAAAATAAACCGAAAAATACCAAACCGTACCGAATAAATTTATATGTGAAAAATATATTTATATATTAAGTTTAAAAATAATAAAGCATTAAATTTTTCCTATGGCCTTGGAATTATGAAAGAGGTTACAAATCAACAAGTAACTAAACTCAAAATCTCAATTCTCAAACCTATTATGCTACTTCTACTGACAGTAAATTATTTCCAGCATATTCACTAGCAAGACATGAAGTATTATGGCGATTATGAGTAGCAAACTACAATGTATTGAATATGCTTCCTTCCGTATGATTTAGATTTATCTTTATGAATATTTAATCTTCTATAGATTTTATTTTTGAGTCCCAACTTGGTTAATATCTTTCTACTCGTGTGATTTATATATTTTTTTTTTTGTCTTTGCTTAGTTTCCTTTACGCTGCTGTAGAATAGTTAATGGATCTATACTCTAGCCATTTTTCATGTTTTCACAATTCATCACTATTTAAACAGTAAAAATATCTACATAGTTTTATTAAGTCCTATAAAAGTATATATGTTATTGCATTCTACTTCTACTAGTAACTTTTTCATGATATTTAAAAAAATACCGAAAATTAACCGAACTGTACTGATACCAAAGAGAAACTGACATGGTTGGGACGGTTTCAAAAAGTCTAATTTTGGTTAAACATTATTAATTAACCGAAAAGTTAGTATGATATAAATTTTATAAAATAACTAGCCGAACCGAACTATTGACACCCCTATCATACGCTGGGCTAAGCCTCAATTTAAACTAACTAGATTAGACATTTTTTTACCTACACATTAAATACTAGTCTATATATTCGAATTCCCAAGTATATTTCTTATTTTTCCCTTAAATGTAGCTCAATAAACAATTTGACAGGTTCTTTAAGGATTTAACTTGTATATGAGAGACAGAATAAAGATTCTTTTAACAATATTGGGTTATCTAATAATCAATTACTTGTATTTTTTTTATTTTTATAATAAGCAATGAATTGATAACTTAAAATAAAATAACTTGTTATAACCGAGTAAATGATTCTGATACTATGAAAAATCTGTATAGAGCACGTATATGAATTGGTAGGGCTAAAGGCTCATGATATGTAAAAGAGCTTATGTATAAAAGATTATTTTGTTAATTTAATTGGTTTTTTTTTGAGCCGAGGGTCTCCTGGAAACAGCCTCCCTACCCTTCGGGGTAGGGGTAAGGTCTGCGTACATATTACCTTCCCCAGACCCCACTTGTGAGATTATACTGGGTCGTTGTTGTTGTTGTTGTTGTTGTTGTTGTAGTAAAAGGCGACACCGTGAAATAAAAAGAGTATACAATTGCAAGAAATAAAACGAATCACTTACATTATACTGTGACTGTACACTTTTTTTTATTTTTCTTTTGATAGAATAACTATTTATTTCAACTGTATATTTTTACTTTTTCAGGTAAAATCTGTGAAATAAAATATTTTTAGAGCACCGTAATTTAGAGCTATATAAAAATATTATAGCCAAAATAATTAATTTCAAATTATATATGTTTTATAACTTTTTAGATGCCTTGACTATTTATTTCAATTGTATAAATCTTTATTTTTAAGTCAAATTCAAAAAAAGATTAACTAAAATTTTATTATTTTTAGCCAAATAAAAATATTTAGCCTAAATAATGTAGTTATATCCAAGTTTTATTATAAATTGTATTCGAAAAAAATTATCTAAAAGGTAATATTCTTAAAAAGGTAAAAATATATTTTACTTTTCAAAAAAATGCCACATATACAGAAAAATTCACATGGCAGGAGAGTGCACCCACACTTTTTGTCACATCAACGTCTAGGGGGGTAATGGCTCTCAAAAGGCTATGTTGAGGGGGTAATTAAGACCATGAATAGCTTAAGGCTGGAACTAATAATCCGTATCAAGTTTAAGGGGGTTTTAAGATATTTTGTCATTAAACAATTTTGATACTATAAAAAATCTTTATAGAGCACGTATATGAACGGGTATGGCTAAAAACTCATTGACATGTAAAAGAGCTTATGTATAAAAGATTATTTTGTTAATTAAATTGGTATTTTATTAAATCTTTATAATTTTAAAATCAAATATCTAATCTAATAATAATTTAATAAGAGTAGTAAATTTAATTAAATTATTACTCACTTATAGTCAACATAAATATTTTTTTCAAGGTTTCTTTTTTGGAAAAAAATAAAAAGCTAGGAGAATAAGAGAACCGTTTCCAAATAATTACCTACTTTTCCAAAAGGAAATTTATAAATGCT